TTAACTGTAAGAGAAAGATCATTTTTAACATTTTGTCCTTGAGTTTTTTGTTTGTTTATTTGTTTTAGACGGAGTCTCACTCTGTTACCCAGGCTGGAGTCCAGTGGCGCGATCTTGGCTCACTGCAAGCTCCACCTCCCAGGTTCACGCCATTCTCCTGCCTCGGCCTCCCAAGTAGCTGGGACTATACTGCGGGCACCCGCCACCACACCTGGCTGGTTTTTTGTAGTTTTAGTAGAGAATGGGTTTCACTGCATTAGCTAGGATGGTCTTGATCTCCTGACTTTGTGATCCACCTGCCTCGGCCTCCCAAAGTGCTGGGATTACAGGCGTGAGCCACCATGCCTGGCCTTCTTTTTTTTTTAAGATGGAGTTTTGCTCTTGTCATTCAGGCTGGAATGCAGTGGCATTATCTTGGCTCACCGCAACCTCCACCTCCCGGGTTCAAGTGATTCTCCTGCCTCAGCCTCCCAAGTAGCTGGGATTACAGGTGCCCTCCACCATGGCTGGCTAATTTTTGTATTTTTAGTAGAGATGGGGTTTCACCCACTATGTTGGCCAGGCTGGTCTCGAACTCCTAACCTCAGGTGATCTGCCTGCCTCGGCCTCCCAAAGTGCTAGGATTACAGGTGTGACCCACTGCTCCCGGCCCTTGAGTTTTCATTCTGGCTTTACAGCTACTGTAGTCGTGTGGCATTGGGCAGATTATTTCACATCTCTGCTCTTTGGGTGTCTCCCTTGTAAAGTGATTTATGCATTGGGACTTTGGCGGCTTCTAGCAAAATGGATCCATTAAGTGGTAGGGGCATCAGTTTTAGAATAAGGGCACAGTACAGGCCCAAGAATGAATACACTACATTGGTCTTATTCTCAGCAACTAAGTACACAGTTAAACATTAATTTTGGTATGTGAGCAACTTGATGCAGTAGGTAACTGCTGTTTTCCTTCTGTTGCATTCAGTCTCTCATCTTGATGTATTCCTTTCTTTTCCTCATGCACATGGTGGTGTTCTGTCCCTCTGCTGTTCTTGTCATCATTTCCATTTCACTTTCCTTGTGTTTCATTCCTCTGTCTTTCTTGTCTAGAACAAGCGGAGCAGCCAGCTGGCAGTAGCACCCTGTAGGACCCCCAGGACCCGATGGTAAGTGCACTTGTGTGCTTGCCAGGCTCCCAGTGGCTCCTGCTCCTCTGCTTCACAGAGAGAAGCTCACAAATTCCATCTCCTCTTTGTAAATGTCCTTATGGGTTTAGTTTTTTTCTTTTAATTTGATGACATATAGGACAGAAATCAGGTGTCAGAAGAAATCAGTACTGGTTTAAGGGAATGTGGCAGGTTCCACCACCTGTTGCTGCAATATTTGGAGGTTGTGAGGGACACCAAGCATGTGTATGTGTGGGCAGGACCCCTGGTTCTGCTTTCTGTTCTGCCATAGACTAATTAGTCCCCCTCTGGCCCTGGCCTTCACGTTCTCCCACGAAACTGAAGGCAGGACAGGTGATTTCAATAGTTTCTTTATCCTAGTCTAAGGCTGTCATGACGAGAAGTAACTTAACAGATGGTTCTCATGAAGATTGAGAACATTGTTTCAGGTGTCAGATAATCTCAATTCCATGATAGACTCGTGATACACTCTTTTCCTTGATAAACTAAGTCTGTTGGTGTTCACCAAATTTAGTTTGGTGGTAAATTTAGTTCTTTATCGCTTCATTTTAGAATTGGCTTATTAGTGTTATTCAAGTACTTTTTGTAATTTTTAATACGTATATAGACTGTTAAGTTTCACAGGTCTTTAGTGACACAGAAATGCATTGGTCTAGCCCAGTGGTTCTTAACCTGAGGAAATCTCCCCAGGGGACATCTGGCCATGTCTAGAGACTTTGGATTGTCACAATTAGAAGCGGGGTACCACTAGCATCTACTAAATAGAGGCTACAGGTGCTGTTAAACATCTTCCAGTGCATCAGACAGCCCACCCCACAGCCAAAGATTGATTATCTGCCCCAGATGTCATTCGTGGTGTGGTTGAGGCACCCGTAGCGGTCTGTGGCGGGATACCTTCCTTAGTCCTCTGATAGGATACAGGAGATGTACCTACTACAAATGGCTTCTACTCATAGTGGATTAGGTTTCCAGGGTCATGACTTTTAAAGAGGACACCTGGGGAGAGAAAAGGGAGTTCTCACTGATTAGTTTTGGTTGTCCAAAAAAGGAATTTGACATTTAGAGTCAGCTAGGTGCTCTAACGTTCTTGTTATAAAACTTAAAATAGCACTTTACCTTTTAGATAGTATGTGATTTCGAGTGCATCTTAATGGTATTAAGATTGTACTTCCTTTTGTTAAGATTTCATCTAGACATTTTACTTATTTAATACTCTATTTACATATAGAACAGTGTACTTTGCTGTTTATATGACCTACAGACTGGGTTTGTACAGCACTTGGGAGGTTGTGGAAAAATCTTTGCATTTCTTTTGCAAGTGATTGTATTACAGCAAATTGACATCTGTTTTTCTATTAAATTTTACAGTGTGGCCCTTCTTTAAATGTGTGTAAGGTTTATGCGAGGAGTGAAGGTTTACATTACACCTCTCTTTTAATTTATTGTAAAAGCTCATACTAAGTACTAAGTAAATGATCAGTTAAAAAAAATGGCACATTCCTTGGCCTGTTTGGGGCGCCTGAGGGGGTATGTCTTATAAAAATGTCATTGGATTCAGGGAAAAAGTTTCTGAATATGATTTTTGAATCTGTGGGCTACGCCAGGAACTCTTTCTTCACATGGTCATAAAAGAAGCCATGGATTTCCTCACACATCAGTTGCAGCTCAGAGAAGTTATGTCAGTAGTCATTTATATTTGTATTATGGATGTGTTTGGGCAATGAGCATTTTGTTTGCTATCAGTAATCTAATATGGGCTGAGCATTACACACAGACAGAACTAGCTTATGTCATAAGTGTAAGAGAACTGATGGAAAGGAGGTAGAATCCAAATTCCCTTAAAACTGGATCCCTGAAGAACCTTTGTCATTATCTGATTTAGACAAAGTGCTGTGAAGTTGACAGAGGGAGAAAGAATCACAAGAGGAGGTTATGCCTATGGAAAGGTGCTTAGATGTTTGTGCCCCTTATGGAGGGAGATTGGCTTATAATTCCTCACCTGGAGACACGTGTTAGTCAGCTCTGTGCAGATCCTTCACTCTTGTTACCACGGGAGTGTGGTCCCAGTAAAGTGTGTGTTTGTTTCTTGCGTTCCATTTTAAGTGCCTTTGGAAGTGAATGGATAGACAGACTATCAGGAATGTATTTGCTCAAACCCTTATAAATGTAGTGGCAAAAAAATCGGATTTCCTATGGGCTGAAGAATTAGGTGTTTAGGCCGAGCGCGGTGGCTCACGCCTGTAATCCCAGCATTTTGGGAGGCCGAAGCAGGCAGATCATGAGGCCAGGAGATTGAGACCATCCTGGCTAACACGGTGAAACCTCGTCTCTACTAAAAACAGAAAATTAGTCGGGTGTGGTGGCAGGTGCCTGTAGTTCCCAGCTACTCGGGAGGCTGAGGCAGGAGAATGGCGTGAACTTGCGAGGTGGAGCTTGCAGTGAGCTGAGATCACACCACTGCACTCCAGCCTGGGCGACAGAGTAAGACTCCGTCTCAAAAAAAAAAAAAAATATGTGTTTAAAATGGTGTTTTAGAATTTGCGTTTTAAGACTAACAAGCAAAATGACTATTAAGGTTATTTTTCAAATTTTTTATCAAAATCTGGTGGTGTTTTTTAGGGTTTGTTTTTACTTTGTATTGTACTTGATGTTTCTACTTTTAATCTAGATGTTTTCAATGATGCTGTTTTATGTCTCTGACCTCATTTTTGTTTGTTTACAGTTTTAGCTAATTATGCTTCCTGGTAGTGATTCTCTGTTATGGAGAATATAACTTTATGTGTGTATAGCAGCTTTAAGTCGTTTTTAGTTTGATTTTACTAATGCAGAGATAAAAAGTGTCAGAGGCTTGTAGTTCTGGAAGCTGGTGGAGGTTTGTCTGGGGGAGAGCAGTGGAGAAAAAGGAGGATTGTTAGGGAAGAATGGGGATCTGTCTGGATCTGAAGACTGTGAAACACCAGCTTCCAGAAAAATAGAAATCTGGTAATTAAAAAATGTAAAAGAAAGGTTAAAAATTCTGGTTAAATCCTAAAGAAACTGGACTTCTGACTTCTTCAGTATAATTACTCCTATAGATAATTGTTTCTTATCTTCATGACTTGAGTTCGTTGTTCCAGCTTATCAGAATGATGTTGCAATTTAATCTTACCTTCTAAACGTATGGTATCACTTGGAATGCAGTCAGTGTTTCTGAATTCCATCCTCTGAATTGTTAATGAAATATTGACCTGGGCTGGACCTAGTCATATCCCTCAGGGCTCTCAGAGTGCCATGCTGGTGGACAGTGAATTATTCATAATTACTCTGAATTTGGTATTTAAGCCATTGTGAATGTGTATCTTTTGAAATTCAGCAGAATCTCTGCTTCTCTTGTTTTGCTTCCAACAATTATGGGTAATCATGTCTTAGTTAAAAGGGCCCCAAGTTATAACATTGTTTTTCTCTAATATGCTTCTTACAAATAGTCAGTCCCTATTAACTATGTGGCATTGAAATTCTATGCTATTACTAATTTTCCTTTGACATCAATAGTAACTTTTTGAGAATACCTTACCTCATAATTTGATGGTCATTATAGCTATGAAGGGAACTAATGCCCAAGATTCTCAAAAATACAAGATTGATGGGTTTCTTTCTTTTCCCCTCTGTCATCATTTACCTGTATAACATAGTATTTATAGTCATGATTCATTCCTTTCTTTAGGAATCCAAAGTGATAATTGCCCAGGAATATACAGTGTGCTTGATTGGATTAATAATTGTCTTCTTCAGTAATTCAGAATAACACATGAGCGAATGAAAGAATAAATGAATAAATAAATAAAAATTGTGTTTCAGGGAAGAAAAAATCCCAGGAAAATAAAAACAAAGGAAACAAAATCCAAGACATACAACTGAAGACAAGTGAGCCAGATTTCACCTCTGCAAATATGAGAGATTCTGCAGAAGGTAAGCTTGTGATATTGGCCTGGTCTGAATTGAGTATATATATACCCAGTGAATTTAACTTTGTGTCTCCTTGTGTTGTCCTTCTGAGAATCATTTAGGATCTTTACGAGGTTAAACAGCAAAAAAGCTGCCTAAATTTAATATGGTAAGCTGAGCCTTCTACATGCTACCTTCCCTTCAAACAATTATGAAAGACTTTTCTTCTTAAAAATGAACTTGTTCCCTTGTTAAAATAAAATGAGACCAAGTGTGGTGGCTCACGCCTGTAATCCCAGCACTTTGGGAGGCTGAGCCAAAAGAATCTCTTGAGGCCAGGAGTTTGAGACCAGCTTGGGCAACATAGTGAGACCCTGTTTCTACAAAAGAAAATGAAATAAGAACATTCACTAAGATGATGGCATGTGCCTGTAGTCCTGGCTACAGGCGGGGGGATCACTGGTGCCCAGGAGTTTGAGGCTATTGAGCTGTGATCCCCCTCACTGTACTCCAGCCTGGGTAACAGGGTGAGACTCTGTCTCTAAAAAAAATAAAAATGATAATAAAATGAAACATATGATTGCATTTAAAAATAGCATAAAGTTCAAAACCATCAAAAAATAGTGATAGCAAAAGGACATGAGGAGGCTCCTGAGGTGCTTGTTGTTTTCTGTTACTCATCTGTGGAATGGTCACATGGGTATATATATTTAGTGAACATTTTATCTTGCTGTATATATACTTAACTATTTGTATACTTTAATACATGGATGTTTTATACTGCAAATTAAGCATTTACTTAAAATATCAAAGATCTTTGATTTTTGTATAACAGAACAAAAAGTGTACAGAATGAAGTGTGTTTCTGTTTTTTGTTAGAATTTAAATTCTTATTTTCTCTCTTCGTGTTTCTCCCCTTAAAATTTTCTCCTTTATAGTCCCTCTGCTGATTAATATTCTAGGCCTGCTGTGACGTAAGAATCCAACCAAGAGGCATGGATTGAAAGTCAGAAAGACAGCTTGCCCTGTGCTCATTGCAGTTGGGCCACCATATTGAGACTATTAATACAGAAGGGAAGGAGGTGTGTCTTAATTTGCCATGGGCAAATTTTCGCAGATCGGAGCTTACTCGAGTTGTTTATAGTGACCCAAGTAGGCAAATTTCAGAAGACAGGTTTGTGACTCTTTAAGAAATATTTGTAGAGGAAAATAACCAAAATATTTTGGATGCCTTTCATAACCATTTTTAAGCACTGTTTGTGATGATAGCATTCATAAAAGATTATAATTTTCTGTGCCATTTTATGAAGCAAGAATAGTCAAATTCATTTCCCAGAGTCTTAAAACTAAGTTTTGCCTCCTTATGGCAGATTTGCTGAGAGTTTTTTTTTGAACAACAAAAATTAGAAAGGAACCTTACTACCTTTGGTGGCAGAATTAGAAAACAGGTTCAACAGTCGTCTACTCCCCTTGCGTAATTCAAGACAATTATTTTTTTCCTGATGCAACATCAGGTACCATGAAAAATGACACTTGCTGGCCCGGCGCGGTGGCTCACGCCTGTAATCCCAGCACTTTGGGAGGCTGAGGCAGGTGGATCACAAGGTCAGGAGCTCGAGACCATCCTGGCTAACACGGTGAAATCCCGTCTCTACTAAAAATACAAAAAATTAGCCGGGCGTGGTGGTGGGCGCCTGTAGTCCCAGCTACTTGGGAGGCTGAGGCAGGAGAATAGCGTGAACCTGGGAGGTGGAGCTTGCAGTGAGCTGAGATCGCGTCCCTGCAGTCCAGTCTGGGAGACAGAGCGAGACTCCGTCTCAAAAAAAAAAAAAAAAAAAAAAAAAAAAAAAAAAAAAGAAAAGAAAAGAAAAATGACACTTGCTCTTTATCCCCCAGTATGTGGCACAGCTGGTCAAAGTGGGGTCATAGGCTTCCCCTGAATGTTCTGCATTGTCCTCAGCTAATGGTCTGTATCATGAGCAAACAGTTTAGACTCTTCTTTGTGCTCCCAAACCTCCCTTTATGTTAAAACTCCACAGATCACATCAAGTGCGTGGACCCACTCTGGCATGGGCCGTACTTGTTAATAGAGCTGGTCGGTCTTTGGTTTGTATTACTTTGGACAGTTTTAAATCTGGGATTGTTTACCAGTCATGGGGAAAGACATTTTTTCCCCATCAAAAGAAGCCACAGATTTTGACTGAAAATGAGGTGTATTAGGAAATTTCTGAGCCTTAGAATTGCATTTTCTGTTGTCTCATTTCAACTCTTTTGGCAGTATTCTGGGTCTCTATTGAAAATGTCTTTGAAAAGAGAGGTAGCTCCTAATTTGAAATACATTACTACCATCGAATGACTGGTTGCCCAGTTTGTGGAAAGCTCATGGAATTTATGAAATTAGTCTAGGGGGAGGGAAGGCTGTTTCTGTTTGGAAACAGAAACCTCATTGCTAGTAAATGTAGTAACAGATGGGAAAAATTAGTTCCCCATATTCCTGGGAAACAGCAAGGGGGCTAGGACTGAATAAGTGAGCTTGTATGAATAGTACCTGGCATTGACCTCTTCCCCACTGTGTCCACACAGTCCACGTGTCCAGTAGCAGGCCTCTCGGATCATGAGGGTCTGGCTGCTCTTTTCTGCCTCCACTGCTTCTTCGCCTTTCCTTCTTAGCACAGCAGCCAGCATCTCCATTCTCATTCCACTCGGCCAGTCTTGCTCCTCAGCCTCCAGTGATGACCTTCCCCCATCCTTTCACCCACGCTGCAGCCGAATCTCCCAGATGGCACTCTCCTGCTTTCAAATACCTTCAGCGGCTCCCCACTGTCCCCAGATAAGTCCACATTAATTTATAATGTTCTCTATGTTTTGATTCTTCTCTGCTTGCTTTTCCTGTTCTGTCCTTAATTCTTGTATCCTTCAGGTTCAGTCTGCTTAGCCCTTTCTCTAAGAATCCTTTCCTGATTAATCAAGCCCGTGTGAGATGCTTCCGTACCACACTGACTTCCATAAACACAGCCATTAATGTTCTATAGTTTCGTTGCCTTCCTGCTTGTGTGTGGCTTCTATGAAAGTGAAGCTCTTTGTGGGTAAGGATCTTGACAGTCTTGTTTACCTAGTACTGGCAGATAGTGGGTGCTAAGTCAGTATTTGCAAGTGCCTGGGGGAACAGCCAGGTAATGTAGCCTGGAGAAGAAGTCAGAATAGCTCTGCCTGCTCCACGGAGCCTTTCTTAACTCTCCTAGTGCCTGCAGTAGAGGGGCCCGGTTCTGCAGTGCAGGAAGTGGGACTGTCACGACAGCAGCATTGGGGACCATTCCTACTAGCACGAAACCATGATTACAGCTTCTGTCTTTAAGAATCCTGTTGTCCCTGTGTTTTCTTCCAGTCTCTTCTGCATTTCTTTTTCTTTACAGCTAAATTTGAAAGAGTTGCTAATAGTTTCCCTGTCTCTCCCGTCTCCTTCCATTCTCTTAGGAACTCTGTTAGGCATTTGTCCCCACCACTCCACTTGCTGTCGCAATCACCAGACCTCTGCCTTGGCAGATGGAATGTTCCATTCTCAGTCCTTATCCAACCCAGCAGGAGTTCTGAACACAGCTGATCATTCCCTCCGTGAAGCAGTTTGTTTACTTAGCCGAAGGGCCACCACTCTCTTGCTTCTCCAGTTACCTCACTGGCCTTTCCCCCAGCCTCAGTTGTGGAGTCATCTGGGACACAGTCGTCTCATCCCTCTTCTGCCTGTGTTCACTTGCCAGGTGACCTCATCCAGTCCGATACCTTCTCTGGCCTTCTCTAGGATTTTGAAATTTCTAGGCCAGCCTCTTTATTGAATTCCAGATTCATATAAAGCTGTCTGCTTAATGTATTCAGGTACCTTAAACTCTAGCACGTCTGAAGTAAGCTCTTGATTTCCCCCACAACATGCACATGCACATGCACACAGACCATAGTTGCTTCTCTTGTGGTCTTCAACATTTTATTAGCCAGGATTATCGCAGTTCTGTGGAATGTCATCTTCTCTGTCACCACAACCAGTCAGCAGGCGCATTGTCAACTTCATCACCAAAGTATATCCAGAGCACTTGTAGTCCCGCCCTGCTGCCACCCCTGTGCCACCATCCTGCCTCTCCTGGAGGATGCAGTGGGCCCCGTCTTGTCCATCTGCCTCCACCCTTGTCACCTAGGGTTCACTATCTTCCTTGTAGTAACCAGAGTGATTCTCTTGAATACAAATCATATTATATATTTCTATCTGGTAGCCTGCCGTTTTCACTCAGAGTAAAGGTCAGCAGCCTGCAGGGGCTGGTATAAGTAGGCCCCTGTTTGCATCTCCAGTCTTATCTCCTGCCCTCACTTTCCCCAGCTTCCCCACCTCACCTCACTGACGTCTTTGCTGTTCTTTGAACGCATCTAGTATGTTCTTGACTCAGTGCTTATGCATTTTGAGGGTTCCTCTATCGAGTAGGGCTCCCCCCCCCCCCCCAGTATTTGCATGCCTCATTTTCCTTAGGTCTCTCCTCCCCTGTCACCTTCTAAGCAAGTCCTTCCATGACCGCCTTCTACCACCCACCTCAGGTGGGCTTGGCCTAGGGACTCCAAAGTGACTGCAGATTTCTGTTCCCTTCAGTGAGATGCTCCTGAGTTCTTAATAACTTGGCTAGGCTTAGAAGAGATGATCTCCAAAGATTATCTAGCTTGAAAAACTTGTGATTACATGATTCTGGAAAATGTGCTAGCTTCTGAATGTAACGTTTTAGTTAAGAAGGAGAGAGGATCATTTACTCCAGACAGACTCACAAGGATCTAACCTGGTGATATGTCTGGTAATGAACTATTTCCAGTTTGGAATCATGAGAAATTAGAATTTACAACTACTCTCCTAAAATGTAGTTTACTCCAACACAATTTTAAACACTGCAGTTTCTGTAAACAGAGTTGTATGTATGTGCAACTAAACACAAAACCCCAGCTCCACATGGACATCCTTGTCTATTGCGTTCGTGTATGTATCCTCACTGCTGGGAATATCGCCTGGTATGTAGCTGGTACTCTAAATACTTGTTGAATGAATGGATGAATGAAATGGATTCATATCCAATACAACTTTATCAATTAAGTATATAAAATAGAAGTAATTTATTGTTCCTCATCATCTGCCTCATGTTTTAGGTGGTAAGAGAAATCACTTGAATCATACAAATTATTCACCAAGTAGCTGGTTTCCCATGCTTCACTTCCATGCTTCTGCTTCCGTGTGCTTTCTAGGTCCTAAAGAAGACGAAGAGAAGCCTTCAGCCTCAGCACTTGAGCAGCCGGCCACCCTCCAGGAGGTTCCTCCAGAACTAGCAACCCCTGCCCCTGCCTGGGAGCCACAGCCAGAACCAGACGAGCGATTAGAAGCAGCAGATTGTGAGGTGAATGATTTGGGGGAAGAGGAGGAGGAGGAAGAGGAGGAGGATGAAGAAGAAGAAGATGATGATGAGTTGGAAGAAGAGGGGGAAGAAGAAGCCAGCATGCCAAATGAAAGTTCTGTGAAAGAGCCAGAAATACGGTGTGATGAGAAGCCAGAAGATTTATTAGAGGAACCAAAAACAACTTCAGAAGAAACTCTTGAAGACTTCTCAGAGGTAGCACCTGCCATGCAAATCCCCAGAACTAAAGAAGAGGCCAATGGTGATGTATTTGAAACGTTTATGTTTCCATGTCAGCATTGTGAAAGGAAGTTTACAACCAAACAGGGGCTTGAGCGTCACATGCATATCCATATATCCACCATCAATCATGCTTTCAAATGTAAGTACTGTGGGAAAGCCTTTGGCACACAGATTAACCGGCGGCGGCATGAGCGGCGCCACGAAGCAGGGTTAAAGCGGAAACCCAGCCAAACACTACAGCCGTCAGAGGACCTGGCTGATGGCAAAGCATCTGGAGAAAACGTTACTTCAAAAGATGAGTTGAGTCCTCCCAGTCTTGGGCCAGACTGTCTGATCATGAATTCAGAGAAGGCTTCCCAAGACACAGTAAATTCTTCTGTTGTAGAAGAGAATGGGGAAGTTAAAGAACTTCATCCGTGCAAATATTGTAAAAAGGTTTTTGGAACTCATACTAATATGAGACGGCATCAGCGTAGAGTTCACGAACGCCATCTGATTCCCAAAGGTGTACGGCGAAAAGGAGGCCTTGAAGAGCCCCAGCCTCCAGCAGAACAGGCCCAGGCCACCCAGAACGTCTATGTACCAAGCACAGAGCCAGAGGAGGAAGGGGAAGCAGATGACGTGTACATCATGGACATTTCTAGCAATATCTCTGAAAACTTAAATTACTATATTGATGGTAAAATTCAAACTAATAACAACACTAGTAACTGTGATGTGATTGAGATGGAGTCTGCTTCGGCAGATTTGTATGGTATAAATTGTCTGCTTACTCCAGTTACGGTGGAAATTACTCAAAATATAAAGACCACACAGGTCCCTGTAACAGAAGATCTTCCTAAAGAGCCTTCGGGCAGCACAAATAGTGAGGCCAAGAAACGGAGAACGGCGAGCCCGCCTGCACTGCCCAAAATTAAGGCCGAAGCAGATTCTGACCCCATGGCCCCCTCCTGCTCCTTAAGTCTTCCTCTTAGCATATCAACAACGGAGGCAGTGTCTTTCCATAAAGAGAAAAGTGTTTATTTGTCATCAAAGCTCAAGCAACTTCTTCAAACCCAAGATAAACTAACTCCTCCTGCAGGGATTTCAGCAACTGAAATAGCTAAATTAGGTCCTGTTTGTGTGTCTGCTCCTGCATCAATGTTGCCTGTGACCTCAAGTAGGTTTAAGAGGCGGACCAGCTCTCCTCCCAGTTCTCCACAGCACAGTCCTGCCCTTCGAGACTTTGGAAAGCCAAGTGATGGGAAAGCAGCGTGGACCGATGCAGTGCTGACTTCCAAAAAATCCAAATTAGAAAGTCATAGTGACTCACCAGCATGGAGTTTGTCTGGGAGAGATGAGAGAGAAACTGTGAGCCCTCCATGCTTTGATGAATATAAAATGTCTAAAGAGTGGACAGCCAGTTCTGCTTTTAGCAGTGTGTGCAACCAGCAGCCACTGGATTTATCCAGCGGTGTCAAACAGAAGACTGAGGGTACAGGCAAGACTCCAGTCCAGTGGGAATCTGTCTTAGATCTCAGTGTGCATAAAAAGCCTTGTAGTGACTCTGAAGGCAAGGAATTCAAAGAGAATCATTCAGTGCAGCCTACGTGTAGTGCTGTAAAGAAAAGGAAACCAACCACCTGCATGCTGCAGAAGGTTCTTCTCAATGAATATAATGGCATCGATTTACCTGTAGAAAACCCTGCAGATATGACCAGGAGCCCAAGTCCTTGTAAATCCCTAGAAGCTCAGCCAGATCCTGACCTCGGTCCGGACTCTGGTTTCCCTGCCCCTACTGTTGAGTCCCCACCTGATGTTTGTCCTTCATCACCTGCCCTGCAGACACCCTCCCTTTCATCTGGTCAGCTGCCTCCTCTCTTGATCCCCACAGATCCCTCTTCCCCTCCACCTTGTCCCCCGGTATTAACTGTTGCCACTCCGCCCCCTCCCCTCCTTCCTACCGTACCTCTTCCAGCCCCCTCTTCCAGTGCATCTCCACATCCATGCCCTTCTCCACTCTCAAATGCCACTGCACAGTCCCCACTTCCAATTCTGTCCCCAACAGTGTCCCCCTCTCCCTCTCCCATTCCTCCTGTGGAGTCCCTGATGTCTGCCGCATCACCTGGGCCTCCAACACTTTCTTCTTCCTCCTCTTCATCTTCCTCCTCCTCTTCATTTTCTTCTTCATCTTCCTCCTCTTCTCCTTCTCCACCTCCTCTCTCCGCGATCTCATCTGTTGTTTCCTCTGGTGATAATCTGGAGGCTTCTCTCCCCATGATATCTTTCAAACAGGAGGAATTGGAGAATGAAGGTCTGAAACCCAGGGAAGAGCCCCAGTCTGCTGCTGAACAGGATGTTGTTCAGGAAACATTCAACAAAAACTTTGTTTGCAACGTCTGTGAATCACCTTTTCTTTCCATTAAAGATCTAACCAAACATTTATCTATTCATGCTGAAGAATGGCCCTTCAAATGTGAATTTTGTGTGCAGCTTTTTAAGGATAAAACGGACTTGTCAGAACATCGCTTTTTGCTTCATGGAGTTGGGAATATCTTTGTGTGTTCTGTTTGTAAAAAAGAGTTTGCTTTTTTGTGCAATTTGCAGCAGCACCAGCGAGATCTCCACCCAGATAAGGTGTGCACACATCACCAGTTTGAAAGCGGGACTCTGAGGCCCCAAAACTTTACAGATCCCAGCAAGGCCCATGTAGAGCATATGCAGAGCTTGCCAGAAGATCCTTTAGAAACTTCGAAAGAAGAAGAGGAGTTAAATGATTCCTCTGAAGAGCTTTACACGACTATAAAAATAATGGCTTCTGGAATAAAGACAAAAGATCCAGATGTTCGATTAGGCCTCAATCAGCATTACCCAAGCTTTAAACCACCTCCATTTCAGTACCATCACCGTAACCCCATGGGGATTGGTGTGACAGCCACAAATTTCACTACACACAATATTCCACAGACTTTTACTACTGCCATTCGCTGCACCAAGTGTGGAAAAGGTGTCGACAACATGCCGGAGTTGCACAAACATATCCTGGCGTGTGCTTCTGCAAGTGACAAGAAGAGGTACACGCCTAAGAAGAACCCAGTACCATTAAAACAAACTGTGCAACCCAAAAATGGCGTGGTGGTTTTAGATAACTCTGGGAAAAATGCCTTCCGACGAATGGGACAGCCCAAAAGGCTAAACTTTAGTGTTGAGCTCAGCAAAATGTCCTCGAATAAGCTCAAATTAAATGCATTGAAGAAAAAAAATCAGCTTGTACAGAAAGCAATTCTTCAGAAAAACAAATCTGCAAAGCAGAAGGCTGACTTGAAAAATGCTTGTGAGTCATCCTCTCACATCTGCCCTTACTGTAATCGAGAGTTCACTTACATTGGAAGCCTGAATAAACACGCCGCTTTCAGCTGTCCCAAGAAGCCCCTTTCCCCTCCCAAAAAAAAAGCTTCTCATTCATCTAAGAAAGGTGGACACTCATCACCTGCAAGTAGTGACAAAAACAGCAACAGCAACCACCGCAGACGGACAGCGGATGCGGAGATTAAAATGCAAAGCATGCAGACTCCGTTGGGCAAGACCAGAGCCCGCAGCTCAGGCCCCACCCAAGTCCCGCTCCCCTCCTCATCCTTCAGGTCCAAGCAGAACGTCAAGTTTGCAGCTTCGGTGAAATCCAAAAAACCAAGCTCCTCCTCTTTAAGGAACTCCAGCCCAATAAGAATGGCCAAAATAACTCATGTTGAGGGGAAGAAACCTAAAGCTGTGGCCAAAAATCATTCTGCTCAGCTTTCCAGCAAAACATCGCGGAGCCTGCACGTGAGGGTACAGAAAAGCAAAGCCGTTTTACAAAGCAAATCCACCTTGACGAGTAAGAGAAGAACAGACCGGTTCAATATAAAATCTAGAGAGCGGAGCGGGGGGCCAGTCACCCGAAGCCTTCAGCTGGCAGCTGCTGCTGACTTGAGTGAGAACAAGAGAGAGGACGGCAGCGCCAAGCAGGAGCTGAAGGACTTCAGGTAAGCCCAGGAGCTGGTGGGAGGGAAAGACTGGGAAGGCGACAGTATCCTTGCCTACGGGCGGTTTTTGGTTTCTTGTTGCTTTTTTTTTTTCCCCTCCCTGTAAAATTTCGACCTCAACACTGAAAGGAAATAGCTGTTGCATAAGTTAAAGGCATGAAGGGTCACTGCTTTGGCTGCTTTTAGAGATGAATAAATAGTTTTAATTTCAGACTTAGGGCTCACAAAGTGGTGCCACTTCTTTAATATGGCCAGATGTAAATTGAATTCGAAACTATAGAAAAGCTCTCAAAAGTACTCTAAGAAAATATGAAATCCTCTCAAACTTCCTTTATGTCTTGGGTAATAGCTCAGTGTCATGTGTCTTATTTCCCGATCATAGGCCATTTCTTAGGTTAAGACGGGTCACTAAGTTCATTAGTAAACCTTGTTACAATCTTGTTTAATATTTCTGTGACTTCAATATAGATCTAGTACCTGAGACTTACTTTCATTGCCAATGCTTAAATATTAACAACTGATTGCATCGGTCAAAACAAAACATAGTCCTTTAAAAAGGCCTTAGTCCTGTCCGCCACCTCCTGAGCTCAGCCATAGGACAGTAGTAAACAAGTCAGGTTCTGGTTGGGAAGCAGAGTAGGAGAGACGTGCTTGAAACTCCAAGCAGGACCCTTGGCGGCTCTTTCAGGCCGGTGTGATACCCAGGGCATGGCAGCCTCGTTTGTCAGTACCTTTGTCTCCTCATTAATGATAGAAGGATTTGTCTTAGATTTGAAGTGACTTTACTGCTTTATTGCCTGTGCTTCCTATATTAAGAACTGTTCTCAGTGACAGATGAAGAGAGAGGGCAGTGGTTGAATTTGTTACATTGGATTCTCAGACTTTCTAAGTCCTTTGTCCGAAGTGGATGTGTATTGGAATTCCTGCTGTTTCTTTCTGAATAGTTCAGTCTTGTGAAAATTACTCATCAGATAGCATTTCTGCAAAATACTTGTAAATCTTGTCTTTTCACGGTATGCCACCTGACTCTAGGCCTTCATGCTATAGCTTTTGGTATCTGAACATTCTTTGGTGTTTTAAGCAAGCGGAATTAGGGATCCTAAGTGTGGACGCGACTGCCGTTCTGTAGAGGTCACGAGGACACAGGTGCCATTAGCTCTGCATAATTGATCAGGTAGAATTTTTAATGCTGGTGTGCCTCAAATCACAGCTAAAGATAGAGAAGAATCATTAACTGAGGCTGATTTGAATGATTTACTATAGGATTAATGGATCAGATTTTTAAAAAACTACTTCATAAATGTGTTAAATATTTAGTTGCCATAGGTCTGACCAACACTTGGTCTCTGGCCACGGCACATACATAGGTAGCATCTTGGAGGTTAGCTCTGCTGAAAATAAGCACCTGTGTTATCAGTTGTCAAAACTGCTTGCCTTTAGTAATTGAATTGTGCACCTGTTTGCGCTCAGTCTGTGTTCTGGAGGTGCCACACCAATAGGACATGATCAAATTGAATCCTTTTCCAGTTGCTTATATCTTCAACAGACAATGTGCCTTCATTTTCACAGATTGTACTATAAAACACCTCTCAGGTGGTTGATGCTTTAGAATGTACTGTTTCTATCCTTTTTGTCTTCAGTGTTATCTAAAAGAAGTGCTTGTTTTGTACTGGGCCCCACTTACACAGTTCAGGGTTAAAGTTGATTTGGAAAAATTAATTTCTGCAAAGAATAGCTGTCAGAGTGACTATAAATTTATCAAGTCTATTCAAATAGCCTCTACCCAGTGTCTTTTGAGTAACCTTTAAGACTACAGAGGACTAAAGTGCCTTAAAAATCATGTCTCTTCTTTGCTCCAGTTAATTTTCATTATTTTGCTCTGTTTGATAGTTAACAGTGGGTTACCTTGCTGGAGTGAAATTTGGCCTAAAAGGAAGCACAGAAGAATCAGATAAGAAAACATTGTATGGTCCTAACCGTGGACGGTAATGACAGGCATTGGTGGCAGCTCTGTGTGAGGTGCTGGAACTGTGCTGTGGACACATCTGTAGGTCAGGAATGTGATCCAAGGGTCCACTTACCAACTCACCATAAACCTGAGAAGTGTTCTTGGGAATTAGAAAACAAATGTTCATCAAGATATATTTTGACTATCTGGACACAAAAGTGGGCATTTCTTTGAAGTGTTTGTTTTGGTCTTAGTACTTTGTAGTGAGTTTAGCACAAAACTGGGATTCGTAAACTTAGACCTGGGTAATATGATGATTGTCATTAACGTGTCGCCCAGGGCTCTTACAGAGGCAGCCTCAGCCTCAGTGCATATTTGTTGCATTACACTAATAAGGAGTTGTTTGAACTACAGTCGTCTTCCTGTTTAAGTATAGTTCTACTTGTAAATTTTGTGTAGGGATGATTCCTGACACAAGGAATCATCACATCTATTACATGTCTAGGAATACTCACTTTCACTCTGTTTGCAGCTTGCTTTACTTACCCTGTTGGGTACACAGGGATGACTTATAGAACAGGCAGCACATCCTTGTCCTGTGTATATCTTTACAACAAGCTGTGATTAAGAGCTAGTTTTCGATACTCAGATATTTTACATTTCAATGCCACTTTAGGATTCCACAGTTTTTCAAGTATATGCTTGCGATCAGCCATGTGATTTTTCCATGAGTTTTCTACTTAACACTGAGGGTCATTTCCTGGAACATAAGCCATGGTGCCAGACAAGGTGTCAAAAAGCCATGTGCTCCAAATATTTTTCTTAGGACAAAACACAGGAAAGCAGGCATGCCACAGTCATTCAGGTTCTCCTGCTGCAGCTCTTACTACAGTGACCTACCCCCCACCCCTCACCATGGCTTTCTGTAGTGCCTAGTTTAAATCTGTTGCTAAGGGATCATTTCCAGGGGCTCCAATAAAACAGAAAGGGAAGGAAAGAGGTACATTCTCTACTCACCTCCTACCCATCTTTCACCTTTGTGAACCCCATGGTGTTTTTGGGTTCTTTAATACTTCTTTTAGAGCTACTTTTTTCTTTTCAAACTGAGTTCCTGTCGCAGTCAGTCAAGAAAACTTAAAGGTAGAGAAGCAAAATGAAATTCTAGACCAAGTTTTTCCATTTACCAGGAATTGATTTAAAAAAATAAAGTGCTAATTTCTCCTCCATCTCTGCTACACCCCTTGGAAATAAATGCGTGTAGTTCCTTGCAGGGTGTATCTTCTGGGTAGGACGCTCGTTCCTAAATACCTTCAGTCATGTGTGTGTGGTCGTCTTAATAACATTTGTCTTACGGTCTATTCACCTTTTTCTTTAACATGGTCAATTCATGTAAGGTTATGTTATGTTGTCATTTATCTTCAGTTTTCTTATTTTCTAGGAACTTCCTGTAGAAAAGCCCCCCAAACAAAACAAACCTTAATTGACTAAAAGGTATTGCATGCTCAACTTAGGATAAGCACTACGGCAAAGGATACGAAATCTACCAAGCTTGCAAGACCAGTTGAAGCTGACTCAAAAATCCTAACATTCAACTGATTGCCGGCAGGCTTAGAGTCAGGCATCTGCTGCTTCGGTGGGGCCCAGCGCGCATGCTGGGCGCCCAGGTGATTGAGATCCAAAGAGAAGGGCACTGTAAGACGGGCCAGATGAACTGGCTCCTCGTCATGGGACTGGTACCTCAGATCTGAGCATGACCCTTGTTTTTGGCACGTAGTGGAGAAAGGAATGATTTGAACTTAACCTTGCAAAGCAAGTTCTCTGTTTTAGCAGTAGTTTGTTGTAGGTTTCAGGGATGACAAATTTGGATGCACTCATTTAAAACGTTTTGGTCACATATCAGCTCTTGATGCCTTTCTTTTAAATTAATTATAGACAGAGAGAGGCATTTAGCTGATCTCTTACCCTGGTATTTCTTGTTTTTTTGTTGTTTTTGTTTTTTTAAATCACAAGTAGATTGCCAGCTTAATGGAGAGGAAACCAGATTGGATATGGACTCTTTTTTATGCCTATTCTGGTGTTGCGTTTGTATATCCAAATGGACATTATCCTCTCAGATTCTTATCTGGCACTAATTTATAACTATTATATTATCAGAGACTATTTAGCAATATATCAATGCACAGGCGCATCCCAGGCCTGTACAGATGTATGTCTACACGTAAGTATAAATGAATTTGCATACCAGGTTTTACACTTGCATCTCTAATAGAGATTAAAAACAACAAATTGGCCTCTTCCTAAGTATATTAATACCATTTGTCCTTGCATTTTATGCCTCCCCCTAAATTAATGACTGAGTTGGTGGAAAGCGGCTAGGTTTTATTCATACTGTTTTTTGTTCTCGACTTCAAAAGTAATCTACCTCTTAAAAATTTGTAGTTTAATATTTGTTTGGTGAATTTGTGCCACTTTAATCCTTCCACTATCATTCCCATTTTGTTACATTTCTGTTATGGGGACTTTATGTTGAAATATTGTATAAAGCATTTGTAGCAGTTTAAAAATAAAATATTTAAAATTATTTAAATTGTTTTGGACGCTTCAATTGTATTATATGTGATTTACATTTCACTTTTTTTGTTGGCGTTGTTAACCCGGAGAGTGCTCCTGTATTGAACTTTGCTGTTAGTTATTTTATTGCTTCTTTTTGGAGAGTGCTATAAAAGACTATTCTAATGAAAACATTAAAATTTACAATTTGACATACCAAAAGGGGTTGTCCATTGATTTTAACCAATGTAGCATTGAGAGAGAGAGAGAGGTTAATTATAGATAGACAAGAGTGCTGTTTGCTGTTTTTCCCTCCAGCATTGAAATCACTGGGGCTCGTCAGATGTATTAAAAAAAGATTTTTTTGTGCTATTGCTGCAAACACTTAATAACTAGAGGAGAATTTAAACAATGCATTTTATATTATTGTAACCAATAAAAAACTTTCTAAACATCTGTGAAAGGACTGCATTTTGTACGTAATTGGGAGCAGTTAGGGGATAAAACAAGGTGTGTGGAGGACTATTCAAAGGCCGCGCTCTAATTTAAAAGTGCGGCGTCTGCTCAGCACACCTGGCGTCTGTTCACTTGTTTCTATTTGACAGTAACTGAACATGTGCTCATTCCAGTTGGAATTCTTTGTAGAGGGTGGACATGTAGTCAGGCAACGATGCCAAGAAGTACCTTGTGAACTCACTCGGGTAAGAGTAAAATATAAAATAATTTCATCTGTGGGGTCTCTGTGCTTCCTGACAGTTTACTCTAATTTGTAGATTGATGTTTATTTCTATGGATTTCCAAGGAATGCAACCAAAAAGTTGTGACATACTCAGTTTATATGAAATTGCCGGGGTTTTTTAAGATTAAAAATGGCTGACTATAAGTGGTTTCCTATAGTTTATCATCATAGCAGTTTGCTAACCACATCTGTCTGTCACTCCTCAGGGAAAGGTGGTGAAGGGATAGCCAGCTTCCCTTGGCCAGATGCTCCCGTTTCTGGCATACGATATATCTCCCTTAGAAAAACACGGAGGAGGAGAGAGGTTGGTGGGAATCTGGAAGTGGTCTTTGATATTAGGAGTTGTAAACAAATGAGGATTGAACACGCAGCAGTGCCCTGTGAGGAGCTGAACGTTGTGAGAAAGAGCATGGTCTTGGGGGAGAACTGGGTTTCCATCCGAACCCATCTGCCGGCCGTTCATCCCTTCCTGTACCTTCAGTAAACAGGCCTCCAACAGGTGCCCTCCATGGCTGTGTCTTTGGTGTTTTAGCCTTGGGCAAGTTCCTTTACATTCTGGATCCTAGTTCCCAGCCTGCAAAAAGTGGGGAGTGGACTGGCTGGTTTCTGAGTGTGCCTTCGAGGAGGAGATCTTTTTTCCTCGATCTGGATGCTGTCAGACACAAGCACTGGACTGAAAGGGTGGGGTGATGGTTTGGTCTCCACAGTGTCCCTGGCTCTGCCTGGAACATGACAGGGACTCAGATGTTTACTGGAGGAGTCACCAAGGAACCACGTCACATCCATCTCACCAAGGGTGAAGCTGCCTTGTTAGGGTTGCTTTGACTCTTTTATGATAGAGTTAAACATTTTTTAAAAAATCAAAAGCTAATTAAAGTCTTCCGTGCCTGTTACCATTGAAGCATTTCACAGTGTTTCTGGTAAATGCCTTGCTAGGCTGGCTGTCTCGTCTCAGTTGCTACAAGTACTTTCTAGCAAGATATTTTACAAAATCAACTTAATTTATTGAGTACTTAGTGTATGCCTGGCTGTGTTCTAGGTGCTTAGGATACATCACTGAACAAAATGGACAAAAATCCTGACCTCTGTGGGGCTTATATTTTCATAGTGGCTTTTTTCCCCACTTTATACTTCACATTCCAGACCTCCTCGCTGTCACAATTCCCCAAAGGCTAGGTGGTCAAGGAGATGCTTCTAGCTTAATATCTGAGTGCCGATAATCTAGATGACTGCCGGCTTTTAATACTTACGTTAAAATGACTCTACTAAAATTATCGCTCACTTAATGCATTTGATATTTTATTCATGTGGATTTTGATTTGATATTGAACCTCGCTTTGAATATATTGACTTGAATCCATAAAAAAAAAATCATAAAGGGCAATTTACCTTGAAAGTGGATTAGAGCACAGGCGGATGAGAAAAGGGTTGACTCAGATATAAAGGCCACATTTAAAGTGCTTCAAAGACCAGGCTGATAGCTACAGAAAATGGTTTGTCATTCCCCATCAGCCTTTACAGGCCCAGCTGTCATGGCCTCTTTCCTGCCTGATGGCACCACCCCTGCAGCTGCCGCTTCGGGCAGCCTCAGTGAAGGTGCTGGTAAAGCACTGCTGTTGAGCGTATATTTGAGGGCGTTGGAGGTGTGGATGGGCCATTCTGCTAGACTTAACAAAATGGGGAGCCACAAGCCCTGCCCTTCAACACTGTGGGTTCCACACTTCACCTGGGGAGCTTGTCAAAACTACTAGTTCCAAGGCCCTACAAGTGGACTTTCCAATGAGTCCATTTAGGGCTGGGGACCTACCTGGGTAATATGTACTTTAAAGACCCCAGGTAAATTCAGGGCACAGGAGAATTTCTGAATTTAATATGGGAAAAATAACAAGATGAGGGTAGCTCTCAATTGCTAGAGAATTGTGTGCGCTTTAGGCCTCGCAGTGCCGCATGTCATCCTTATAATCATCCTGCAAAGTGGGCAGTGCTGTTTTCCCATTCTTCCTCAGGCTGCCGGGGGCGTGCAGCTGGTGTTAGGGCATCAGTTATTCTGAAGCCAATCCTGAGCCGTGTCCACTCGGTGGAAAGAGGAGGTGGTAGGCCTTGAGGGTGAAAGAACCACGGGCCTAATGTGTAGTTTCTCTCTGGCTTATGTTGATTCCAAGGCCCAAGCCCCATTGGGCCCTGCCCTTCTGGTGGCTTGACCTTTCCTGAAGGGTTTGCCTCACAAGCAGAACCTTGAATACACAGCATTATGGGATAAGAAAAATAAAGGTCCAGATTGGTGAGAATGGTGACATGTGGACATTAAGATTTTAGACCAAACATCTAATGTCAAAATAGAAATTGAATACAGTTTGAGGTTTGAGTGGGTGGCATGTAGGGAAAAAAGTGCGAAACTGCTCCTTGGTGGTGCCATGGATCTCTGTGCTGCAGCCCCAGGCCCCAGGCCCGATCCTTGTTGCCATCTACACAGGGTCACGTCACTTCCTCCCTCCCCACCTTCTGCCCTTGTGCCACTTCCTCTGAGTGGTGGTGGAATGATCTGAGAAGCTTTAGGGTGGACTTAGCGTGGCTTTCCAACGCTTGCTGTGCGCTGGGTACTCCGCTGAGCATCTACAAAACAAGTCTTGGCAATGACAGCCTGAGGTTGGTGTCATTTACCGATGGAGAAACAGATTTGGGGAAAGTGATGTTGTTCCAAGGGCACACAACTCTAAGGTGACAAGTTGGGATTTGAACTCCAAGCTGCACTGTGCAGTCCATCATTTTTATAGGTAGGTTTTTTTTTGGTTTGTTTTTTAAGGAATTTTATTTCATCTAAATGTAGAAAACAGGATGCAGTCCCTTCTCCGTAAAAGCTTTTGGAAGCATTAGTGAGCAAGTAGAACAGTCATTTGTGGGTAAGGAAATCTTCCTGGTGCACCGAGACTTTTAGTCAGGAGTTGCTCCTGGACCCATTTGCTTTTAGTTTCCCTCTCACTGTGGAATAAACTTCTACCTCCATCACAGACCAATTAGTTCAGGTCAATCAAGCTGGCTTTATAGAGCCATCTGCTTCATCAACGGCAATGTGACTGTTTAACAGAAGCCAAGCTCATTATAGTAATACCCTTTGATTTTGGAGATGATTCTCAAGGCCCAGGGATCCTCAAGCATCTCCTCAGATACCAGCGGAGAACCTTGAGCTGCTGGCCATTAACCCAAAAAGAAAGTTGGTCTAGGCTGCCTCCCAACTTCAGCAAATAGTGCGTTACATGCAAAACAAATAGGTATTTGCGTTCTGCTGATAGGTTATTTTTAAAGTACAGGATTACAACCTGGAGCGGGTATGTAGATTTCATTTAGTTTTCTACATTAAGAATTGAGAAAACCATCATGACTCTGCATTAAATTACTTGCAGTTGCAAAAATCACATTCAATTATGAATCATTAAAGGGTAACCCAGAAATACTTATTAGAGTAAACTTGTCGACCTGTTGCGGGTAATAGGATTTGCACATGCTTGCATTTCTGCCTCCTTTATGCCAGCTGGATTCCTTTTCAACACTTTTTTACAATAGAAATTCAGGTGGACATTCTGGAAACCATAAACATTTTACGGAACACTGGTGCCTAAATGTGCCTTCCCATGTCCAGCTAATAAACCATGACAGGAAGTCAACAGAACAAGCCATGTTTTGAACATCTTTTCATAGGTACCACCCGAGTTACTCAGTGAGGGGAGAGAACTGGAATGTCATTTCAGCAACCACAGAAAGCTACAGGTGGGTTTTAAAGCCCAGGTTTGTGTTCTGATTCAGAACATACCTAAGCTAAAAATATTTCCTTATTCATGTTTAAACAGGAGCCTATGATATAATCTGGAATCCTACTTACGTATCTACTGAGTCTTAGCATTAAATGTAAATGTACATTTAAAATAGGACTCACTTTTTAAAAATCTGGAATTTGTTACACAGGTAAGTTAACAAAAGGGCATTTAGGCCTTAGGAGACAGTTGTGGCTATTTTAATTTTTTAACTTAACAGAATTTCAATGTACAGTGGTTGCATTTGGCATAGCAATAATTATTGGCCCAAAATATATTTTAATATTTTTTTATTGGAATGAAGTTATTTAAAACTCATGGATTCAATTTTCCTTGCAGTAACATTCTCTTCTCACTTGCTTTTTATAATCGCATCCAGTCCTTGCCAACCCAGCTAAAGTTTAGAACATTTTCAGATGGCTTCTATTTCCAGGCTATTATTGGACTTGTGAATTCAGGCACATTCTCCTGTTGTGATTCAGTCAGCCAGCCATTCAGAAAACATCTTTCAACAGCCAATCTGAATCATCAAGGTCTCAGGCTGTAGACCTGGAGGACTTTGTCCTAGGACTCTAAGAGCACCCTCAGGTGTAGCTAACCACCATGGAGGCAGGTGAGGATGCACCTGGAGTATCACTGGCCTTTCCAATGCTTGGGGGCAGTTTTCTGAGTTCTTTACATTTTGAGCTCTCCCACACCTGACGGAGATGGTATTCTCATTTACAGATAGATCAACCGAGTCTGAGATAGGCAACGTCACTTGAAATATTTCCCATAGCTACAAGTGGGGACTCCAAACCCAGCCATCTGGTTCCAGAGCCAAGTTCAACTACAATTTGGAACCACCTAATCACTGTGCCTTTGGGTTTTGGAGAGACTTGCAGGTACATAGCTGTTGTGTGCCCCATATGAGATGCTGATGGCCAGAGAGGAGTTCTACCACAGAGAGAGTGTATAGGATCATGGGAAAAACATGGACGTTGAATGCCTACCCATCTGGGTGTTCCTTACCTGGGTGTTGGTAGTTACTGAAAGGCAGGGCACGCTGCCAGCGGCATCCCAGCGTCCTGGCCTGCGGTGGAGCTCTGTGCCCGCCACCTACCATGTGCAGTGCACATTACAGAAGGCAGCGTGTGCTCCCAGTGAGGATCCAGTGGCTGATGGCTGTGGTGGCGCTGGTGATGACAGCGGACGCTTAATCGGCGCCAGGTGCTCAAGTCCTCACAAAAACAGACCTAGGGAGGCACTGCTAAGGAAACTGCCAGGTCTTAGTAGCCGGCCCCGGGTGGAAAGGGGCAGCATGTGAGGACCTTCGATGATGGTGATCACTAGAGAACTTGAGGAAGAGTCGTTGCCAAAACGACTCACTTTTCAAAAGCCCTGAAAGAGAAAAAAAGTCCTTCGTGGAAACTGAGAAGCATAAGTTTCTATTATAATTTCATGAGTGGGTGGTTCTATCCTTTGGTGAGGCTAGAGCTTTGTCAGAATTTTTAAAACACTCCTAAAGGCTCCTAGAATGATGTGTTCTTCTCTGTCTAGGTACGTGTGGAGCGATTGAGCCACGGGGTTCATGGAAAGTAGAGAGCAGGGATGTCCAATCTTTTGCCTTTCCTGGCCCACGTTGGAAGAAAGGTCACACGTAAAATACAGTAACATGATAGCTGATGAACTAAAAAAAAAAAAAAAAACCACAAACCCTCATAATGTTTTAAGAAAGTGTATGAATTTGTGTTGGGCTGTATGTGGCTTGTGGGCTGCAGGTCGGACAAGCTTGGTACCTGGGGAGCTCTGGACATTCAGTCTCCTAGGATCGCCGGAGCCTTTCTCAGTCTGAGACCAGGGCCCCTCGTGGGAGCAATGCAAGTTGAGACAGAGCTTCAGTTCAGCCTGGTCTGCCGTGATTACATAGAAATGGAAATTCAAAGTTCAGAATTTCCTGAAGGCCACTTGCATTCCACAAAAGATGGTGAGGTGCAGGCCAGCGCTAGCCGGGGTTGAGGTTCTACTGTTTTCATGACAGGCAGCGGAATGTAGGTACAGGCATTGGCTCTGGACCTGGAAGGCTGCTCAGCTGGCACCTCCTCCAAGAAGCCTTTCCTGACCATCGATCTGTCACACTGCCTGGTCCCTCATCCCTTTCCTTGCTGTGCTTTACTGTTCAAGACCCTTAAGCCTTCTGTACATTCTGTTTATGGACTCATTATGTTTGTTTACTCTATGTCTCCCCTTCTTAGAGGAGCGTTCTGCCCAGGCAGGAACTTCATTTTCTTCACTGCTGCATTCCCAGCATCTATTAATAGAACAGAGCCTGGCATGTAGTAACTGTTCAATAAATATTTGTTGAATAAAATATTTGAATTCTGGCTTTATCACGTATTCTGTAAGCTTAATCTATGCAAGTCACTCAACCTCTCTGAGCCCCAGTTTTCCTTTCTGTGGAAGGGAGATAATCAATCTGACCACAAAGAATTGCTGCGAAGACAACTTGAGAGCAGCCTGGAAGGACCACAGATGCTGTTCACCCCAGTGAGTGCTGTCAACGTCAGCTGCTGTCAGCATCACTATTATGACTGAATGATGTCCTCTCTAATCTCAGTTTGAATCTGATGAAAAGTTGAGCCTGGCATGCCATGTATAAGATTTCATGACAGCGTGAGTTGTAGTAGCCAGAACATTCCCTCATCTCCTGCGTCTGCCCAGAGAGAAAGCTCTCAAGTGGCCTGTAACTCCTGGTTTGGCCACCAGTGACACCGAGGACCTTAGCTGTGTCTTTGCCAGGCCAGAGTTGTTCCTGTGTGGACCAGAGCCACTTCCTTTTTATAGCAGGTTCTCCTACCCATCAGAACTAAAGAGACGTGAGCTGTAAGACAGGAAATCATTTTTCAATTCAAAGTGAGAAAAAAGATGATTCATTCTTATTCTATCACCTCCTCCCTGTAACTTTCTATTTCTCTTGGTTTTGAATTTCAAAACCAAATGTCAGTTTTTAAAAGGTAAGTTCAGAAGAAAGCATTTCATTAGCTCTGTAAAACCACGAAAGCCAAATAACCTCGATTTGCTGAAACAATAATAATGTAAGGATGATCGCCAATGCTTGCTGGCCACGATATTAAGGGCTTTCCATGTATTACCTCATTTAATCTTCAAAAGAGCCCTGTGAATACTTTTATGTTCTCCCATTTTACAAATGGGGGAACTGAAGCACGGAGAAGTCAAGCAATTTGCCTGAAGTCACAGATGGTAGGAGGTGAGCCAGGAGTCAAGTCCAGGCAGTCCGGCTCGTTTTTTAATCGCGAGTCTGTTCTACCTCTCGTCTGTGGGTCTGGGAGTGAGGAGGCAGAAGGGGGCCCCTGGTCACGCCCCTGTGCCGCCTTTTAGTGGCATCGCCATCAAGCAGCAGACAATGTGACTTAGTAAGCACCTTGTCTGCAGGACAAGAAGCACCAGCAGATTTGAAGGAGCTTAAAAGTGTGTTGCAGGTGAATGGATGTCTTAGTTCTTCCCGGGATGAACCCATTTTGTATGTTCTTGGGAAACCAGCATGTCTGACATTTTGGCCAGGCCTCGTTTGTTTGTTTTCCAGGGATGGAGCCTCATCCCTCCAGCTCTGTTAGAGAAGAAGCAAATTTAGATACTGACCAGCCCAGAGGATGGATGAGCCTTCTCTCTGGGGTCAACTTCTCCCTCTTCTATTTTCACAGAAGTCTTTCCAAGCCACAGTTGACAAGCAGGTTTCCATTTGTGTAGGGGGAGCAGTTGCCCAGGGTGCTGCATAGAACTGGATTCTGACGCTGGGTTCACACTCAGGGGAAGAGGGCTGGCTAAGTGACCCATGTCTGCCTTGTATGCACAAAGGCGAAGTGATTCTGGAGTGCCACGTATTTGCTGCCTGTGATCTCGTGTCTGCTACTTTTCTGTTTTTTAAAGCTACACTGGACTCAATTTCACCCTTCTTTGAGGGTTCAAGGTAACCATCAATTAATACTTTGTTGTAGAAAAGATGATTCTGGCATTTAGGAGATCCTGACCCCACACTAGAGGATCCAGAAGCTTAAGATGTGACTTTTGAGAAGAGCGTACTCCGCAAGATCTCCTTTTCCATCTGTCACTCATGGATATTGTCTGTGCTTCCTGGCATCCTTTAGTTATGCTTCTGTTAACTATGGGCTGGGAAGCTAGATTGTGGTCCTGTTAATTATCATATGTCAACAAAGAGATGGTAGGCCCTGAGAGATCTCTCAAGGACCTCCCTTACAAGTGCATTAATTCCAGAACATGGATTTTTGGACACAGTTTGCTCACTCATTAACGATAGGTCTTGACCAGATGCGGTGGCTCACACCTGTAATCCCAGCACTTTGGGAGGCTGAGGCAGGAGGATCATTTGAACTCAGGAGTTCAAGACCAGCCTGGGCAACACAGTGAGACCCCCATCTCTACAAAAAATAAAAAAGCCAGGTACAGTGGCACACACCTGTAGTCCTAGCTACTCAGGAGGCTGAGATGGGAGGATTGTTTAAGCCCAGGAAGCCAAGGCTACAGTGAGCTCTGATTGCACCACTATGTTCCTGCCTGGGCAACAGAGTGAGACCCTGTCTCCAAGAAAGCCAAAAACCAAAACATAATAGACTTTGGCTTTTGATCTGTGCTGGTAAGTGATGTTGCTGGGACAAGTGACCTAGATAGGAGAGTATTAAGTATAACACACATATAATGGACTGCTTTTTTCCTTTTAAGCTCCCAAAACACATGAGTTAAAGAAATGATTTGTGGAGAGAATGAAACAAAAGTTTGGGTAAAAGTGCAATCAGTTCCTTTCTCAGCAAATATTTGTTGCCAGGTGAAACAAGAGTTTCCTTCTCTTTACCATCCTGTGTCCTTTAATTTATGTTTACAATAAATAATCTATTTGGTGCCAAGTGGTCGAATCTTGATAGTTTTAAAGAGCTGGTCCTTACAAACTCATGGAAGTACCTGTAGTTCACTACCTTTAGCAGAGATTGACAGACCTGCCCATGAAACGGATTTCTCTTATGGATTCAGGATGTTTCTCTGGAATCGTTTTGGAATTTCTCTCATAGCCAGTGTATATGTTAACAGGTGTGAGTTTTATACTCTTAATGTCTTCATGCTTATGTTAGGCTCCTGTGATTGAATTTTACAAGTGAGTTTAGTGAAAACAAATCTGTGTTAACTTTACAAACTTCATGTAGGAGCGAAGCATTTGATAGGCCTCAATGAACTGGTGTCAGATATTGTAGTTGAAATATATGCCGTGCCAGGTTATTTCAACCCTGTAATTAATGATAGGTTTATATCCTTTGAAAGTATTTTTTTTAAATTACAGACACAGCCTGTGAGTGCCAGCTAACAGCAGGTGTTTTATTAAGGTGTTGTTCCGAGTTGTGTGTGGCACATGGCGAGGTAAGAGCATTTTGTGGTTTGGTTTGCATTGTTAATTACAGCTCTAAGTGCTGTTTCCTGCCTGTGTTCCTGGGTGTGTGATGGAGCACTAGTTTGGATTATCTGCCCAGGATGTTTGCTCAGTGGACCACCTACATTAAAAAATCACCTGGGGGATTAAAAGTTTCAGACCTACTAAACCATAATCTCTGGGGGTGAGACTTTGAAATCTTCATTTTTATCAGCTTGTCAAATGAGTCTTACCCGGACTTCTGAGGGCTTTTAAAGTTTTTCTGTTTTAAAAAATTTTTAAATTTTTAATGGCATGGTATCCCTTATCACTGAATTTCTTCTGATTTTAATTTTAAATTCTTTTCCTTTGCTTGTTTACCATCTCTGATATACTTACAGCGCGTTTCAACTCAGAACACTTTCAATTATGTTTTTCCTTAATTCTTACAACAACCCCATAATAGATGCGTCAGGGGCAGCTCAGGAGCTGGGGACGTTTCTGAGTGTCGTAGGTAAGAGAGAATTGGGGGTTTGCCAACACAGCACCCTGCGTGTGTGTGTTCACCTCCACCCACCATAGCCCTGAGCATGTGGTAGGAACTCAGTATTTGTGGAAGAAGAAGAAAAATCCTCAAGGATAATAGAGCCAAAGCTACCGCTCCGCTTCACTGACCTACTTATGTGACCCTAACTTGTGACCTCTTGGTTTAAAATGTGAATGTTGGGGCAACTAACTGCTGGTGATTGAACAGAGAATGTCCCGTCCATGGGTAAATGATCCATTAAAATCAAGCCGAAAAAAATGGCTGGTGATAGCTAATTAAAATTAGTGTTACTGCCTCTGGGCATAGTCCTTCAGGTTAAAAATGCATGATGAAAGCCAATCAGTAACCCATAGAGACCAGCATAAAACTGTGCTAGAAACCCAGGACAGCACAGTTTATTAATTCAAAGGTACTGGTGGAATTAGAGTCTCCCCTCCCAGTCTACACTGGTACACACACCAACGATACGAGTCCTCACAGGCTATGTTTGACGATAACTGAACATCCTGAACTTCATGGGGGTAAACTATTCAACTGTTCCTTCAGATTTCTAGGTTCTTTTATCCCTGTTTTTGGACCGGAAGATAGGGTGACCCTTTCTGTGGTACCAAGCTTGAATTTCCATCTCCTGACACTTGACCTCCTAAGGGATGGGAATGGGGAGATCCTTCCCTAGTAGAGCCTCCCAAAATACATAGCCATGGATGACTTTCCTTGCACATTTTCTG